GAGGTGGAGGCATCTGGATGGAGTTGGAGGACTAGGGCGGGTACGTGGGATGGGAAGGAGGTGGAGGCATCTGGGTGGAGGACTAGGAGGGTACGTGGGATGGGAAAGGATGGAGGCATCTGGGTGGGGATGGTGGGACAGGAGGAGACGTTGAGGGCAGGGAGGAGATGGAGGCATCTGGATGGGGTTGGAGGACCAGGAGGGTATGTGGGATGGGAAAGGATGGAGGCATCTGGATGGGGGTGGAGGACTAGAAGGGTATGTGGGATGGGAAGGTCGTGGAGACATCTGGATGCAGTTGGAGGACTAGGGGGTACGTGGGATGGGAAAGGATGGAGGCATCTGGGTGAGGTTGGTGGGACAGGAGGGGACCTGGGGACCCAGGGGACCCGTCCCACCTTGTTGGGCTGCACGGTGCGGCGCAGGTTCTCGATCCAGCGGTCCCGCTCGGCCAGGGAGGCGCAGCCGAAGGAGCGGCTGCCCTCGCCCGTGATGACCTGCGGGCCACCACGGGGTGGGAGGGTGCGGGGGGCACCTAAGGGTGCCCGGGGAGGGACCCTGGGGTGGGGGCTGGGGCGCTGGGTGCTGCGCGGGGTGACATTGGGTGGTGCACGGGGTGACACTGGGTGCTCCGGGAGCTGTATGGGGTGAGACTGGGTGCTCCGGGTGCTGCATGGGGTGACACTGGGTGACACTGGGTGCTGCATGGGGTGACACTGAGAGCTCCAGCACTGCATGGGGTGACACTGGGAGCCCCAGGCACTGTTCAGGGTGACACTGGGTGCCCCAGGAACTGCATGGGGTGACACTGGGAGCCCCAGGCGCCACTCAGGGTGGCACTGGGTGCCCCAGGCACCGCTCAGGGTGGCACTGGGTGCACAGGGTGCTGCATGGGGTGACACTGGGAGCCCCAGGAGCTTCATGGGGTGACACTGGGTGCCCGGGACACCACTCAGGGTGGCACTGGGTGCACAGGGTGCTGCATGGGGTGACACTGGGTGACACTGGGTGCTGCATGGGGTGACACTGGGAGCCCCAGGCGCCGCTCAGGGTGACACTGGGTGCCCTAGGCACCGCTCAGGGTGGCACTGGGTGCACAAGGTGGTGCATGGGGTGACACTGGGAGCCCCAGGCGCCGCTCAGGCTGGCACTGGGTGCCCCAGGCGCCGCTCAGGCTGGCACTGGGTGCACAGGGTGCTGCATGGGGTGACAGTGGGAGCCCCAGGCGCCGCTCAGGGTGACACTGGGAGCCCCAGGCGCCGCTCAGGGTGACACTGGGTGCCCCAGGCGCCGCTCAGGCTGGCACTGGGTGCCCGGGGCGCCCCACCTGGAAGCAGAACCTCTCGCCCACGAGGCTGCCGTGCACGGGGCGCACGATGACGTTGTCCCCGCTCAGGTCCAGCTCGGTGACGCTCGGCGGGGGCAGCAGCGACTCGCGGGAGCCCGACCGGCTGGGCGCCCTGCGGGACCCCGCTCCGTCACCCATCGTGTCCCCGTCCCCCTGGGACACCCAATGTGTCCCCGTCCCCACAGCACCCAATGTGCCCCTGTCCCTGTGACACCCAATGCATCCCCATCCCCGCAGCACCCAATGTGTCCCCGTCCCCACAGCACCCAATGTGTCCCTGTCCCTGTGACACCCAATGTGTCCCCATCCCCGCAGCACCCAATGTGTCCCCATCCCCGTGACACCCAATGTGTCCCTGTCCCCGCGGCACCCAATGTGCCCCTGTCCCTGTGACACCCAATGTGCCCCTGTCCCCCTGTGACACCCAATGTGCCCCTGTCCCTGTGACACCCAACGTGTCCCCATCCCCACAGCACGCAATGTGTCCCTGTCCCCACAGCACCCAATGTGTCCCTGTCCCCATGACACCCAACGTGTCCCTGTCCCCCTGTGACACCCAATGTGCCCCTGTCGAGTCATGACACCCAATGTGTCCCTGTCCCCAAGGCACCCAACGTGTCCCTGTCCCTGTGACACCCAATGTGTCCCCATCCCCACAGCACCCAACATGTCCCTGTCCCCATGACACCCAACGTGTCCCTGTCCCCAAGGCACCCAACGTGTCCCTGTCCCCCCACAGCACCCAGTGTCCCTGTCTCCCTGTGACACCCAGCGTGTCCCTGTCCCCACGACACCCAACATGTCCCTGGCCCCCCATGACACCCAACGTGTCCCTGTCCCCAAGGCACCCAACATGTCCCTGTCCCCCTGTGTCACCCATCGTGTCCCTGTCCCCGTGACACCCAATTGTCCCCCTACCTCTCGCCATCGGCACCGGGCGGCTCCGCTCGGGCTCCTCCGCGGACTTTTCGTTCCCGCAGGCGCTTCCAGAGCAGCCCCTGGGGACGGGACCGATGCTCTTTGGGTGCTCTTTGGGTGCTCTTGGGTGCTGAGCACCTTGGGGTGGGTGCCGCTCACCTTGACGGTGCCCAGCTGGGTGGCTTCGCTCTCGGCGCCCTTGGATGTGGTCCGGCCGCTGCGCTCGTCCGTGGGAAGATCTACAGGGACGGGTGCTGGGTCAGAGATGGGGCACCCAATGGGTGCAAAGGTGGGGGAAGCCCTCCTGGCTCCCCAAGGAAGGATCCCGGGTCCCTGGGTCCTCTGGGACCTGGGGAAGGGACCTGTTGCTTCAACGCGGCTTCAGGTGGTGGTTGCACAGCTCCAACCTGCACCCAGGTGGATCCATCCTGCACCCATCCAGCTCCGTCCTGCACCCATCCAACTCCATCCTGCACCCATCCAGCTCCATCCAACTCCATCCTGCACCCATCCAGCTCCTGCATCCATCCAGCTCCATCCTGCATCCATCTAACTCCATCCAATTCCATCCTATTCCATCCAATTCCATCCAGCTCCATCCTGCACCCATCCAATTCCATCCTGCACCCATTCAAATCCACCTGGGCTCATCCAGCTCCATCCTGCACCCATCCAGCTCCATCCCGCACCCATCCAGTTCCATCCTGGCCCATCCAGCTCCGTCCTGCACCCATCCAACTCCATCCTGCACCCATCCAGCTCCATCCTGGCCCATCCAGCTCCATCGTGCACCCATCCAGCTCCATCCCGCACCCATCCAGYTCCATCCTGCAYCCATCTAACTCCGTCCTGCATCCACCCATCCATCCAACTCCATCCTGCACCCATCCAACTCCATCCTGCATCCAAGTAGCTCCATCTAGCCCCCATTCATCCCCATCCTGCACCCAGGCACTTCCAACCTACACCCATCTAAMTCCATCCCGCACCCATCCAGTTCCATCCTACACCCATCTGACTCCATCCTGCATCCATCCATCCATCCAACTCCATCCTAGAACCATCCAGCTCCATCCTGCACCCATCCAACTCCATCCTACACCCATCCAGTTCCAACCAGCACCCATCCAGCTCCATCCAGGCCCGTTCATCCCCATCCTGCACCCAGGCACTTCCACCCTACGCCCATCCAGCTCCATCCCACATCTTGGTGCCGAGGAGCGACCCGGTGACCATCGCTCCCTTCCAGGAGGTCCCTCCGCGGCCGGGCGCGCGGCGCAGAGCAGCCAGCGCGGGGGCCCCATGGCCGGTGGCGCGTGGTGGCCCCGGGGAGGAAGCCAAGGGAGCGTTATCGCCGCAATCAGCACACGCAGCAGTGGGCAGGAAGCGGTGACGCGGTGGCCCCGGCGCTTCCTCCGCGCAGCCGGCGTGGGCACGGGCGGGATGTGGGGCAGGGTAGGGGGCAGAGCAGCCTGCGTGGGGTGGGGCGTGGTGGAGGGTGTGGGAGGTGGCATGGAGCATGGCGTGGTGCACAGCGTGGGACGTGGTGTGGTGGAGAATATGGGACATGGCGTGGTGGAGAACATGGGACGTGGTGTGGTGGAGAACATGGGACGTGGTGTGGTGGAGAACATGGGACATGATGTGGTGGAGAACATGGGACGTGGTGTGGTGGAGAGCGTGGGACGTGGCATGGTGGAGAACGTGGGACATGACGTGGTGGAGCATATGGGGCATGATGTGGTGGAGCACACGGGACATGGCATGGTGGAGAGCATGGTGGAGAGCATGGGA